CCTGGTTCGCATAAACACATTTCCGATTCGAATTTCCAGGCTGTAACCCGGATGTCTCACACGAAACGGATGGTCCAAATGATGTCATAACGAGAGCTTACGATTCATCGGTGATAAAACCGTATGGATACCACACCAACCCCCTTCACCCACATAAATTGTCTCAATTAGTTCCTCGTTCGAGATTTGCACAGAATTCAGGTTTTCTACTAACTTGGAACCGATACCCCCGAAAGAATGCCACTGTTTCCTGGACTTTCCTTCAACAGGTAACCCGACAGTATAACCAATTACAGAAAATGACTCCCAAAAGAGCAAGGGAGCTCATCATGGGAAACGACAATCAAGAGCGAGAAGTCTGCTTAGTGAAAAGAGAAGATCATTTTCTAAAATTCAGAAAAAAATCGATCGTGTCAAGGCACTTATGTGAGGCCTCTTGCGTTTTGTTATATGATGAACAGTTCATTCTGTTCGGCACTTGTTCGCGGAGGTGTGGTATTCATGAAGACAATTAGAATAACCCATCTCGCGAGAAAAGTTATCGCTATAATAACACCTAACCCATTCCCAGTCATGAATAGCAAACAACGAACCGTGGATGTCGAAGAGGAAATCGAACTGCTCTCGTGTGAGAATACCATCAGAAACCGTACGGGCCTTCAACTCGTTGAGCAACTCCCATGCATATTCAATACCACCAGTGGAGTTGGGATAAGCTGAGGCATCGTAAGCACACATAGAAAGCTTGTGGCAGTATTTACCAACAGTGCAAGAACCTTCCAACATGATGGTGATCTTGGCCTTCAAGTTCTCCCATCCTGGTTGAGTACACACAGCACACTGTTCTGTCATCATATAATTCATACGATAAACGAGATCATCTGCATAGTCACCGTCAATAGCGTTACGATAGAGCATCATCGTAGCATGGTCGGCATACTGCATAATGTACTGAGTACCCAGAGTATTCTTCCCACCCTCGATAGAGAAATCAATAAGCAAAGAACCAGGGGCATATCCCATCCTCTTGCTGACATCCTTCTTCATCTGCTGAGCCTTCAGTAACGTTCTCTTGATATATTGCGGCTGCATGCGCTCGGCATCGAAACTCAAACCGATGGGAGCAAT